CATCATTTTTAATAATATTATCATCATCATCATCATCATCATTATCATTACTATTTTATTATTATTGTTATTATTATTCTTATTATTATTATTTTTGTTGATGTTGTTGATGATGTTGTTGTTGATGCTGTAGTTGTTGTTATTGTAGTAATAATAGTAATAATGTATTTCCTTTTACAGCCCTATTCCCGTGTGCACACACAGCTTTGGGAGCTTTACAAATACAAATTCAGAAATAGACAACGTTATATAATATATTATGAAAGATGAACCAAACTGCGTAAGATTCAAACCTAACTAGCAAAGATTCCCTTGCTCCGCAAGCTTATCATGCTACGTCGCAAGTTGTTAGGAGCTTGTGTTCCCCTTGAGACTTGTCAGATATAATGTCAGAAACACCAAGCTAAAGACTTTTTTTTTCTTCCTAGCGCTGTATCTGTAATTGGGAGCACTTTACACCCCTTTCAGTACAATTTAGATCTCTTATTTCTTCTTTTTTTTTTGGGGGGGGGGGGGAGGTGTGTACTGTTTCTGTATTGCTTGATAGGTGAAATACAAAACCCCGGCTGACATGTTATGAAAATACTGGATGAACAGAAAACAACTCCCCCTATTTGGGAATCGAACGCATGTCTTCTGCGTGGCAAAGGCGTAAGATCCTAACCCTAATAATATCAAAGACGCTAATTTCATGGCGCTCAAAAGATCGTAACGTTGACCCCCCCCCCCCCAAAAAAAAAAAAACCAACAACAATAACAACAACAACACCGGACTCACTTTTATCCCCATGGCTCCTTTACGGTCAGACTTAAACATGCGGTGATAGTAGCCTGTGTTGAGAGGCCGGTCAGTTGTGCTAGGCGCCATGCTGAGAACTTGCTGTCCATAAGAGTCCTGGTGTAGGTCAGCTGGGCCGTTGTCCAGGCCGGGGATGGTATGGAACAGGCGGTCAAGCTTGGTGTACTGAGGGAACCTGTACGGGTTTGGGTTGGGGTTTGTTTTGATTTTTTTACTTTTACTTTTAGTAAGTGTTTTATGGCACTTACAACATGGTTGGGTTATTTAAGCGCCGAAGATTTGAGGTGTTACAAGGGATTAACTAGCACAAAAAGAAGGAGGAGAGATTAGGACGATAGATGTTTGACGACCTGAATCAAGGAGCAGATCACACCAGAGCACCCGCCATCCACCCATCTCGACAAGTTTGTGTTAATGAGATACAAGTCGGTACAATAACGGTCAATTCACATCATAATGACCTGACCAACCACAATGTGAGTAGCAGATTGGTTAAGACAATTCTACCAACTATGTGCTTTTGAGAAACGTTTTTTAGATCGAAATAGTTTTGGTTCTTGTGAACATGTAAAAACAAAAAAAGGTCGATGTCGCAAGCAATACACTTAAGTCCTTTTGGGTATTTTTTACACCAAAGATTTAAAAAACGGGTCATTGTTGTGTTGTTCCTACCAGGAGTCATTAAAAAGCCAAAAACTTGTAAGCCTGGGCCAAAGCATTGAAATGCATATTGGTGGTGCTGAAAGGTGTATTTTTGGTAGAGATTGCCAGGATCAAGAACCAAAAATTCTCAAAATTTGAACTTAAGCGGATTGCTTGAAACAGCGACAATATTCTTCCGTTTCGCTGTTTGGAGAATGTGGATCTGATAATATAGAACAGGACAGATTTTTCTGAAAGTGTTATACTTTGGTCTTTCCTCAAAGGAAGGGTTGCCTTCCTGCCTCCGTTCGGGCATCATACTTGGTCGTGCCATTTATGACGTGCCGAACCCTACGCACTGTTTTGTGTCTGAGCCAGTCGCAATGTCGATGGTCGTGGCAAGACAGGCCATCCTGAAAATTGCCACAGCCAGCAGCTCACAACTTTCAGCAACTTGGCTCTTGGAACGTGTCATCATCCAAGATTACTATACAGAGAGCAAAATGGCTGCTTCTTTCAGGAAACCTGCAAGATTGTCTGCCCCCCCCCCCCCAAACCAGCTGTAACCCTGGCTCTTGGTCGGTCGTACATAAAGGCAGTCTGGACAGTCACAAGGTCGGCCAGTACAACTACTGTCCATCGTGCTGAGCTCACGGTCAACAGAGAAACGCAATTTAAAACAAAACAAAAAGAAAGTCCGTTGGTCCCCTGTGGATCCTACCTTTCAGGTGTCACTCTGTAACATTGGGGTTCTGTGTGAGGACGGGGTGGACTCCTCCCCCCCCCCCCACACCCTGCACAGACCAATCACGATCTGCTCCATACGTACCTCCCCAAATTACCCGCTCAAAATTAACCAGTTGAACGACATAAAACGGTAGCTCCCGTAAACCATATTTTACCAGAAGATTTTAAATTTTAAAGCTCTCTGCCCACTTTGGGGTGAAAAATCCACCAATAAAAGAGGAAGAATAATCGAAGACTTTCTATTCAAAAACAGCTTATCTTTAAAATGATAAACGCACCACTTATCGAAACAGATCAACCTTTAACACTTCATCCATTTGACCTCACCCTTTGTATTTTTTTTACCTGGTTTCAGGTTCTGGGTGGTCTGTGCTGGATAATCGAACAGACTTTTTTTTTCCTGAGAGCAATACCTTCCAAAACGAAACAATCCTTGAACATTTCAGCTTCAAAAAAGTATACTGGGGTGGATTCGCTTATGAATGCTCCAAATCTGACCCCCAAAATCGACCTAAACTACGTTGAATTTCACGTACTGTAAAAGGAGAATGTCTAAAACATTTGTGATGATGCCATAAAGAAAAAGAAGGCAGCATATCGGAGACGCGCCTACAAGGCACTCCAAATGTACAAGTAAAACGAAGCCACGCTATAAACTACCATGAAAACAAGCAACTTGAGTCCTGCGCGCTCATATGATGACCTTACGCAGTTGCGTGCGCCGTCAAACGCTTGGCAAAAAAATACACACACACACACACACGCGCGCGCGCGCGCGCGCGCACACAC